AACCAAACTCTGCTGCAACTGTGCCGCAACTAAAAGGGTGTAGGTGTGGGAGTGCTTTAGACGGTAATATGCTGGTTTTAAAAAGAAAAAAGTAGGCATTTTCTGAATGTGCTTAAAGGCTCAGACGGGGGGTGCTTTTGAGAGTAATTCCATGATAAATGAACTCTAAGCATACTCATTTAACAGACCTCAAAGAGGTATGTTTTTTGACATTCTTGATTGGATGTCCACCGGTGCACTGTTGTCTTTTTTTGCATGGCGTGTTGACAGTTCGGTTTTATTTGTCAGCCTGTTTTGATCGAGTTTTTGGTTGATTTCAAAGGATCCTATGATCCAGCTTGTTCCTAAAGTAAATTTCTTCTTTGTCCCTATTCAGTTGAGCTCAATTGTAACCTCTTTACCAGAAACCTGTCCTTTGGAACTGCCTGTTTCATAGTATTTTTAATGCAGTGAGCTCGTCTGTGTGAGTAAAAAAGTAAAGTGCCGTGTGGCGACAAACTCCAAGCAGAAAAAACTAATTTCTACAGATTTCTGATCTGACTCTGAATTAGGGTTCCATTGCTGGAGGACAAAAAGATGTTTCTGTCACCCAGCAGAGCAACAGTGCTTCATGTTTCCCTGTTCGCGCACAGCTGGGACAGCATTCTGCTGGATGGATAGGGTGTGGGGTGTGGGGTTTTGGGGGGGGGGGGGGGGAGGGTGAGATGGTGGGGTGGGGGTGGGGGGGGTTGAGTTACATTCCTTCCATTGGGGCCGTGTGTCCGCCAACCAGGTCACTCCCAGTTCAGTCCCAGGAAATTAGGAGGGAAGAATTTCCTCTATGCGTCCATACTGGACACCGGCGCGGCCACATGGAGACCAGTGTGAAGTGAGGACACGTGTGTAGAACATGACTCGTCTGTTATATATTCTAACACTTTTTCATGTCGGAATGTACGTCGCTTTTAAATGTGTCCCAGCGAGTAAAGTATTGAATTATGCAGGCGTATGTCTCCTCTCTGTTCAGCTGAATCTACTGACATTTTCAAGTTTAATCTTGATATAACAATGCTCTGGACGCTAATGATGCCAGATGGTGGTCTCAGTTGTTGTGTGTTTATTGCTCTACAGATAGGCATCCCTTTATCTGCTGTCCTGCTCACCACTTACATGGATGACAGATGCTTCCAGATGATTCCGGGTCCACTGGCTCTCGCTGGGGCCTAATAATAGCAAAATGGAGAGACGAACGTACCGGAACAGACACCAAACTAGGTTTACGCTTTGTGTGCCGTTGGTTAACGCACATCTCTGTGGGTCGAGACGGAAATCTCAGTGGCAGCTCTAACTTGGTTAAATGTAAAAAGAATGAATGAAATGAAAAAAGGACATATGTTTCAGTGAAACAATATCTGACATCACTGGACCATTTGAACCTGTGTTTATGTTAATTGCTTTTAAGTCGAACATCATTATAAAACTGAAGATTTTCTTTTTATCCTTGCTAGGATCTTTGTTAGAAATTTATGGGAATACAGTTATAAGTTACAGTTTCAAGTTATAAATCAAGTGCGAAATATAATTATTTGAATTTGTTATCCTGGGATTTGAACTTTTTGTCTGTTTCATTCTATAATCTCTTCACTTTATGTCTTTTTCATTTAAAGCTCCTTGTACTTTTTGAATTATTAAAATTCCACAGACATATTTCAGAAGAAATTAATTTGTGGTTTATGCTAATGTACATTAATGTAATGCCACCATAACATCAAGACCTTTAAGATATACATTTCTGATTACGTCATAAGACGAGCCACCTTTTTAAAAAGTTTGAGATTAAATTTTTATTGGTGACTTATTACTCTTTCATGCAAGTGCCAGAAACTCCAAGGATACATATATAAGACAAGCTTTAAATAGAATGAGCGGAAAACTTTGACTTATATCCACACATTTAGAAGAATTAGCATTCATTGGAAGTTGTACTGCTAATTTTCAAGAGATGTCAGTTTATGTACACTATTATTATTACAATTATTATCAGAATTATCTAACATTTGTCTTTTGCTTCGCTGATGTCACTCTCCATTGCATTAATCAATAAATGTAATAAAAATAGAGAAACTCTGCTCTAAAACCAGAGCAGTTAGCGAATGGATGCTAATTCATTTGCTAAAAGATGCTAAGTCTGGAGCTAAAAGATGCTAATATAGGAGCTAGAAGATCTCGTCATTGTATTGAGCACAGAGGAACTTTCACTGTGATCTTTTGCTTTAAAAAAAAAGGCCTTTCATTAACCTGGCCTTAAAATAATCTCTCAGCAAAATGCAAATTTGTTTAAAATACAAAGATTAAACAGGGAGTTATCTTGACTAGCTACCTGGCTAATGTTACTTTGGTTTTTAGTACTAATGTTTAAACTTGAACTTTTTCTTGGATTTGTATATACTTGATTATTTTGTGCAAGGAAGAAGACCTACATCAATAAACTCATGAGGTTTAAGAGATCTAAGGTCTTTCTGAAATGGTCATTTGGGGATTTCAAAAAGTTTCACAACGGACATATTTTTGCCTAACTTGACTTACATTTGATCGGCACGTTTTCGCAGAAATGATACCCATTGAGACGACTGAGAGGAGCGGAAGAACAAGCGGGACACATAATGCCATGACTCTTCTCTGAGGGGTGGGGGATTGTGGCTGGGTCTCTGTCTGAGACAGGAAACATGTGAGCAGAATATGGGATGCCTAGAGGACTTGGCAGCTGTGCGCGCATAAATACGTAGGGGCAGGATGGAGGCTCTTCCAGGACACAGAAAAACTTGGCTCTGGCAGACTGCGTGTCACAAGAAATCAAATTAGATCTGTGTGTGCGCACAAGCGTCCTGAAACAAGGCGAGGGGACTTTCTCAAGCAAACCGCAGCAAAGTCGGTTGGGTCTCAATGGTTATTTGTCTGTTTAGCCAGGGGGGACTAACATCTAACGGGGCCGGCCACTTCCTCGGCGGGTCACCCCGAATCCTCGCTTTCTGATCGTTACACTTTCCAGGCACGCGACAAAAAAGGGGGAAGCCACAACCCCTTGTGTCAGTTCGGCCCATCTCAAGTCTGTGATTTACTGGTCCCTTTTGGAGTCGCATTTATCACACGGGTCAAATGATGTTACGCAAGAAGGAGAGAGGCTACCTAGAATTCAAGCAGTACCCCCCCCCTCACCCACCCCACGCTCCAAAAGTGTGCTACTTCTTTCAAATCGGCGACATGCCACAATATGGCCGCACACACGGGCCCAAATAGCAGCGTTCAGCAAATTTAGAGCGTGATGAATGACTGTCCCACGCTGAACCCGGATAAAAAAAAAAGTGCCATGCTGCCCTGTCATGACTCAGTGCCGGGGGGTGGGGGGGGGACACTGGCGGGTGTCTCTCTGTTTCATGCCATCCCCCCCCCCAACCCCCCCCCGGGGCCCTAGCCCCAGCCCCAGTTTATTAGAATGGGAGCTGCATATAGCCGCCGGGGTCCTGGGAGGTTACGTAAGAGTTCAGCCGGGTTAATCCGGCAGACGGAGGGAGTACCCGTCAGTCCGAGAGGAGCTCCGTTTTTTCCAACGTGGTCAACTCAGTCCGGTGGTCAACTCGCGTCTCCCTCTTTCAGAATGCAGAGATTAACACAGAACACGGGTCTGTGCTAGCTCTAGCTCTACGTTCTGGCCGCTAGCTGATGTGACGGGGCCACCTGCTGGTCTTTCAGGTGGCTTGTGCTTCATTAGCGCAAGCCAAGACAGAACTCAGGGTCCCTCCGTGGAACGTCATATTAATCCTAAAAACAACTCACTCCCAGAACACTTCTCAAATATCAGTTGCTCGTCGTAACGTAGAAGTCTGCCTCGATGTATTCGCTGAGCAATTTCTGTTTAGTGAAGGGGGGAAATAAACTAGATAAATGAAATAATTTATGGAAAAGCAAAACATTGCTTATTCGACGGCTTAAAATGTTCAAATCGGAGGTAGAAGCCCAGCTAAACTATTCGTTGTCTGAGAGGATACTTGTTCAGCTGCGTCATTCCACAGAATAAAAAAATAAAATAAATTGACTGACATATGTTCAATTCAAAAAGTGAAATTCTAAATAGATATGGAATCATTGCAATCATGTGTGTTTTTCGAAAATGTGGAATAAGGATCCATGGAATCTGAATTTCCAGCGGTCTAGTTTGCACATCAGCTTAAATTGTTTGATGAGTTTTAGAATGAAGAGTCATCGAACCTACTCTTGGTTAGTGAAAGTTGAGAGACACACTGAAAAATCATTCAAAAGTGGACACTTTTGCATTATTCTTTGGAGATAATGAAGACCATTACCTGACACCAAACCCCAAATCATGGGTGGTTGTGGAAGTTGAGTCGTCTTTCCGTTTCCCAAACCTGCACCGGCTGCATGGTTGGTGCAGATTCCTTTGTCAAGCAGTGTGTTTCCCTTTTGTTGCCTTTTATTGTTTAAATATATAGAGCATACAGAAACATATAGAACATATAGAAACCGACATCTTTAGTAACATTTTTGCGGTACTTTAGGGCGTTTGATATATTTGTTAAGCACTGTCTGGTCGTGTCCAAAATATGTTTATATCCAGTACTCAAGTTCTTCTTTCTCAAATATTATTCACACAATTCCTACAAAATAAACCTAAACTCCACAAACCCATCGCTGATAGTCTGGAGAACTCATGTTTTTGCCAATCTAACTCGGGTCAATTCGTATATCTCCTCTTTTGATCGAAAATTCTATTTAAACAGCTAAAGTAAAAATACATTTCCGTCCCCGTTGAACGTAGCAAAACTGAATCTGAAAACAAAACCCACCTCAGAGACCATTTAAGATGGACCTGTGTTTGACCACCTTGCATACCATCCAGACCGTCCCATTGGCTCCTGCACAGGTCAGGGCGAAGCGGATAGGTGGGGCGTGGGATTTTTCATGTGAAGGTGTGTGCATCTGTTTGGGGACCCAGAGCTGGAGAGATGTCCCAGGTGAAGGCACCAGGGGAGACGGTCAGGACCCTCCAGGACTACACGGACGTTTACTCCGACATGGCCACCGTCACCTCCAGTGCAGGTGAGTCAAAAAGCTAACATCTTACTCGTCCTACGTTATCCTTAAAAATAAACTGCCCCGTGTCTCTTTATCGACAACAGAGCTAAAGTCAGTGAATAAGCAATTGGTTCTTTACGCCTATAATCTAATTACACTGCAGACTGGGGAACTGTTTTCGGTTTTTATGTCCTTAGGGAAATTGCTTTTTAATGTCAGATGATGCAGCATTGGTTTCCCACCAATCTGTGAATGGAGGTGTATTTTGCCGGACAACAGGATGAAAAGTAGACTTTGGTTTATCGTGTTTGCTAATGAAACGAGAAAAAGGGTTTAAAAAAAACAAATAAAAGTCTGAATAGCACGTCCGAGTGCAAAAATCTGCGTCTCCTCTGACTTTTCGGGCATTAAGGAGGGTTCATCCCGGTTCTCCATTTTGACAGATTGGTCACTTTGTTAGCGACTGTGGTCATAATCTCGGTCAAATCCCCCAGTTTCTGGTATCTCTTTCTCACGAGCTTGTGTTGTGGCAGCTAAATCTCTGCGCCTCTCAGGTTCCCCGGTGGCATTGGGAACCAGAAAGTCAGAGTAATCCCTCTTTCTCTTTTTTTTTGTGTGTGCTTTTTTTTTTTTTATTTTTTTTGGAACACTCATTGGCGAATTGCGCTTTTACAACTTAAGACAGCCTCTTTTTTCTCTTTTTTTTTTGTATCATTCCAAAGAAAGTCAGGAAATAGGAGCTCGAGAAATGCGTCTTAAAAAAAAAAAAAAAAAAAAACAGATATCGGCGAGTCGGCGAGGAAGGGGCCGCCGTGCGAGACCCCCGGGGCGGCGGGCCCGGTGGGCCGGCGGGGCGGGGCCTTCGCCTCCCCGGCCAGGAGACGCCACCGCACCACCTTCAGCCACAAGCAGCTGGAGCAGCTGGAGATGGCGTTCGGGCAGAACCAGTACCCCGACATCTACTACAGGGAGGAGCTGTCCCGGGTCACCAAGCTCAACGAGGCCCGCATACAGGTGGGGCGGCTCTCGGAAGAAAGTTTAGGCTTTTTTGGGGCTATTTTGGGGGGTTTTTAGGCAAAAAAAAGAAAAAAAAGGATATGTTATATTTGTATTTTGGTCCCAGCAGGTGTGGTTTCAGAACAGGCGGGCCAAACAGCGCAAACAGGAGCGGGCGTCCCAGAAGGTCCTCTCCCTGGGGGTGGTGCCGGCCCACCGGGCGCTGCTGGGGGGGGTGCACGTCCAGCACGTCCAGCACGTCCAGCAGGCCGGCGTGGCCCGGCAGTACTACCCCCAGCCGCTGGCCCACATCCCCCGCCTGCCGCCCATGCTGCCCTCCGGGGCGTACCCGCGCCACCCGGGCCCGGCGGGGGGGCGCTGCCCCTGCCCCGGCCAGCAGCCCCCCCCCCCGAGGCAGCACGAGGAGTGGTACGGCCCGCTGAGGGGCAACCTGGCCTCGCCCATGTTCTCGCTGGCCTCCATGCAGCCCCTCGAGCCGGCCTCGCACTGGAGCTAAGCCGTAACCGGGGCGACGTTTTAAAGCAAGGAAGAAGCCGTCCCATCCATATCCAGATTAGATTTTTTTCTTTTTTTGAATAAAAAGTAGACTTTAGATGAGAAGCGGTTACTTTTTCTGTGGTGTCATTGTGGCTCTACTTTCTACTGAAAAGCCTTTTTGTGATTTCAAAGTGTATTACAATTATAAAAAGAGGTTTGGATGGGATATATTTGGAAATACAGACAAATGAACAAAGGCTGTGCTGATTCTTACATTTATAGTTACCTTTTTTTTTTGCAGTGTGATTAGTAACACACATCCCTTTCTACACTTTGGGCCAGCAACACATTCCAAAAGAGTTGGGACAGGGCTAGAAAAGATGGGGTAACAAATCAAACAAATTAAATAAAGGAATGAAAAATACATATTTCCTTCTAATGGGGTTATGATAAAAAATAAACTAAATGATCAAAATCACAATATCATTACAAAAGGTGATGTCAACATGTTGATTGTGTATAAAAGCAGTATAATAAAAGGCAGGAGGTAGGGCTGGGGATCAGATAGTGAATATAACTTTGAGAATAGTACTCTTTAAAGAAAGAATGGAATGGATGGTATTTCTCCCCTTTGGCAAGGAGTAACACCATTAAACGACTTCTCATACCGTGACGCATCAAGACGTGTCTTTCTTCAACAAATTATGCAATCGCGTGAAAAAATTACTGTTTGGCCATCTGTTTTTCCTTTCTTTCTGATGAAACATTGTGTCCTGGTGCATTTCCAACAGAAAGTATGCAAATAAATTCAAATAAAAAAAATGGGATGAAGAAACTAACGCTAAGAGGATGATGTGGTAAGAAGTAAATCTGCAGTATAGTTGTGAAAATGGATGAAAAAAGAAAAAAAAGTAAACCTATACCCACCAAAATTATTATAGAATGTGTTCCAGGCCAAAAAAATGGAAGCCTATTATATAATACAAAGAGAGAAGAAAATACATAGGATATCAGGGGTTCACCGGGTGTGTGATCAAACAGCCTGAAGCATTGTTCTTGACTTGGGAAAGTCAAACGGTCTCCGGGAACCCAACAGTTTGCGTTGGTTTATGTCCTCAGAGCACGGTTAACATGAGCACACAGGGAGACAACTTCCAGAGAAAACACGTTTAATCTCTTGAATGCGATTGACAACCCGGACAGAACGAAGCACAACAATTTTGAGATGTTACCTCAACGGCTACGACAAAGCCCACTGAATGTGAGGTCACCACTTTAATCTGGTAGGAACAAACACAGCAATTTTGCCTCAGTAAGTCACATAATGAAGTCTTTATGTTAAGCGCCCACCCACACGCCGGGATTTCAGCCCCCCCTTAGCCAGCCTGAAGCGACCTACATCATAAAACACTGAAATGTAAAAATATACCATGCATTTATATGAAAAAAAATTACACTTTGGATGACATCACCGAAGGATGCGACTAACTTGACCAGACATATTTTGTATTTATGTCCGTTCAAAAAGGCAGCTAACGTCTGAAGCAGTCGTGTTGAGTTCAAGTGATTTACAGCTGTCAGTCAGTGTGCTTTCAATCTAGCTTATAAGGCGAGCTCGGCGTGGCTCTGTTTTACATTCCCCCTAAGCGGAGACAAAACCGAGTCCTCTGGCTGACCAACTACAGTGAACAATGATTGGCTCATTTCTTTATCTAGTTCATAACACAGAAGAAATCCCCTCGGGACGAGAGGGGAGGCACCATGCCGACTCCCTGCCGGCGTCCCCCCCCCCCCCAACTGTTACCAGAGAGAACCAGCGGTCTCACAATAGGCAAACAAGAGGGATTTGCGGGAGGAAACATTTGGTCCGCAAGGCTGAAACAGCAGAAACTTGCTACTTCATGTAAAGGAGAGTGGGGGGGACATTTCTGCTTCCGCTACAGGAGCTGACCCCCTCAAGTGTTGGTCAAACCAGGCTACCTTCAGGTTGCCTTTGTGTTCGGGGAGCCAACACGGACCCTGAATGTCACACCTAGGTGGGAAATTATTCCTCTTTAAAGCTCACCAAACACAAGAGAGTGTGCTTTTAAAAAATTAAATTAAATTTAAAAAAAAAAACTAAAAACAGAGCACTTAGTACACAGTGTAAATTTGAAAATAATTAAATAAAAAAAACAATTAATTTGGTTGAATAGATCCTTCAAAAAAGACTTGGGCACACTTAATGTCCCAAAGAGAAGTAAGCACACCCAAGAGTCAAACTTAAACAAAAGAGCCTCTTCTGCTCCTATGAACTCGTATAGTAAAGAAAAAGAACGGTCACAAGCGTTGCAAATTACCAATAATCCATGAATCAAAGTCAATCTTCTAAACTGTGGTACATCCTTGCTGTCTTGCTCCATGCGCACTCGGTTGTGTCCCCTCCCCTTTCCTCTCGCGATTCCTTACCGCTGCTGAGGATGCGGAAATATCTACTCCAGCGATTTGGCAAACTCCGCGTAATCTATGTAGCCGTCGTTGTTTTTGTCGTCGTCCTTCAGGACGTCGTCGATCAGAGCCATGAGCTCTTCCTCCCTCATTGGCTGGCTGTGTTCTCCTCTCTCCTAAATGTAAAAAAAAAAAAAAAGTCACAAAGGCATACACATTCACACCAAGATGATGACAAAAATGAATAAATAAAAACACTTGGACGTGGCCCTGCCTACCTCGCGGTGCACGTGTGTGATGGCCGTGGCCAGCTCCAGGCCGTCCAGCAGGTTGTTCCCGTCGTAATCGTGCATCTTGAAGTAATGAAGCTGGAGTTCCTGAGGCGTCATGTCCGTCTCCGGCTTGTCTATCACGCCGTCTAAATGTTCCATGATGTGGCTGAAAGCAGAGGGGAAACAGCGTTTGGGTTACACGCGGCGCGAGCCCTTCGGAGGTCACTGTGGTCGGAGTTCGGCCGGGCCTGCGTCATGTTCGATCTGCGTGGCAGAGAGGGGGGGGGGGGGCTCACTCTTTGTCTTGCACCATGTTTCTGTCCAGGCGGCCGTGGTGGGATGCGTGGACGGTGCCATCTACGTCCGAAGGCGGCTGCTGATGGTTTGGAGCCTCCTGAGAGTGGACGCACAGGAGACAGCAGGACAGGAGGAGGGGGAGCAGACCCCTCCGCTGAACACTGACCGTAAACCTCTGCATTCTGAAATGAGGACAGACAGACAGACAGAAATGACAACAGCCAGTTAAGAAGTGCTAAATACTACATAATACATACATACCACCATTTACATGCTCAAGTTTTCCCTTAAAAACTCTTTATATAAGCATACCAGGTTTTTAACAATACATACATACTCACATTTCTTGTACTGTTATCTTGTTACATCTTTATCTATTTCTGTGAACATCAACTATCAACTATTGGCAACAGTAAACACACCACCGTTATATCCCAGCTGTGCTCCATATGTTGAAGTCGCTAAATGGTGTAAAGGTCATTTCATTAACCATTAACAATCGCGTTGCGATTCATCTGCTATTGACACTTGAATTTTTTTCTTGAAGGTTTAATACCCCTATGAAAAGCAACCTGACTTAACGTTATTAGCAAATGAAAACAACTGCCAGCAAGGGGACTCGTTTCAAGAAGCCGTTAAAATGACACGTTCCTATAAAACGTTGAAGACAAACACAAAAGATGACTCTAAAACTAGTAAAAACTTTCGTTCTATACCTACTTGTAAGCAATTTATTTCTTCACGCCGACTCGTTGTGCTATTTCAGTAGTTGGCTGTTAGCAATGATCATCCTGAGACCTTTGTGGGCTGTGTGACTTGCCGTACCGTAGCTTTGACACGACAGCTCATTGTGATTGGTTAAAGTAACCCGAGCGTACACAGGTGAAGGAAGAGATGCATCTTCATCTCGGCACGCATATTTTTTAGACTTCTGGAAACATGATAGGAATCACGACATAAACACACACTCATTATTTTTTTAAACATACCAAAAAAAAAAAAAAAAGATACGTGAGGGAACTTGAAATGTTGCCTGTTTCGTAGCCTTAGGGATGAGTCAATTTTGATTTCCCTGGTCGCGAAAAAATATTTCATAACGTTCACGAGCCCGAATATTTTTAAGTAACTGACAGACATATCACTTGCATTTTCCTGACTCTTGTTTTTGCTTTGTTCAAAAGGCGCTACTTTATCAGGCGAATTACCCCTAAAGAGTCCGAAAGCTTTGAGGCGGACCTATGGTGACGTCACCGGGGCGGAGGGAGTGACCCGCGCGCTCAGCTGTCAGTCAGCTCCCGCGTTGACTCACTCTGACTTGTGGACGTTGACTCGAAAGACGGACAGGCGCCTTTTACACCAAGCAAATGTCAACTTTCCAGAGAGAAAATGACGCTGCCAAGTCTCTGTTCAAGCGGCTTGAGGTTTTTTCTTCATGTCATAAAGTAGCTCACATAGACTCTCAGTAGTGAGTGACGACTGGCTCCCCTTAGTGTGTTGTGGTCCCCCACCTTTTCCTTTTATTTTGATAACATTGAACGCATCGTTTAGCTTTTTTAGTTATACATTGTCTCTGCAAAAAAAAAAGAAAGAAAAAATGCAGCATACCGAGCGTCAAATTGTTTTTAATTATATCCGAGGACACGGTGGCTAAAGGGTGCGTTATTTGGCAACCGTGTCCGCTTTAGACTGTTGCGGCACACGGGCTGGGAACCCTATACCCAAACCGGGCAATTACAAATCGATCAATTACCCCGTTCAGCCAACGAACTTGTGATAAACAAACACTATGAACAGAAGAAAGCGGCGCCTTGCCGCGCACTGCTGGATCCGACTTTAGGTTTTGCCGCACACTTTGCGGCAGCTTTGTTGGCATTAAGCCCCACCTGATCCAGTTAAAGTGTTAACAGGAAAAGATTAGGGACATGGGTTCTCAGGGTAGGGGCTCTTCTCTATTCGCAGACGGGCCGGCTGATCGGACTCTCTCTCAAAATGTCAGAGGCGTTTAAATAAAAGAGCAGAAGTCGGACGCGTAGCACGGACGCTCGGCTTTTTTTTTTTTTTTTTTTACTGTGACGTGATCAAGTGACTGTAATAAAGTAACTGTAAACGCTGTTTTGGATTGATTTGTTGTCCGTGTCAGCTCGTAAATCTGAAGTGTGCCGGTGATCAGTAATGATTCCACACCCCCCACCCCACCTTCTGCGCTCTCACACACCACGCGTTTATTTCTCCCGGTAGTCCGCAGTTACTCCCATCGTGTCCGGGGAGTACGGTCACCACCACCACCACCACCACCACCACCACCAGCACCGGGACAGGGCGGCGATGGCGTCCCGGGTCTCTTACACCCAGGTCCGGCTGGAAGCGGAGCTGGAGCGGTACCGGGCCGAGTGCCAGTGGGGCAAGCTGCTGGCGGTGGTCGAGCAGATGCACGCGGCGCGGATCCACGAGGACGGTGAGTGACAGCTGTGCACACCTGGAGGTTCTGCAGCCGGGTTTTCTCCTGTCACTTCCAGGCATACAAATGCATCTCCCCCCCCCCCCCCCCACTGTACTGTGATTGGTAATGGTGTTGAAAATCATTATTGCACAAGATGGCATCATTTCTAAGTTCTAGGAAGTTGTTTTTTTGTTGTTTTTTAAGAAAAATTATTTTTGCCTGGAAGTGCGTTGAAATTAGATGATGATCGAGATGAGGTTAATGTGAAATAACACTTTGCAAACTTCTCAACAGGGATTTCAAATGTTTGCCCTGAGTGAATACTTCTGGCTTGTGCTCAGATCCACACAGGTTGAACCTTGGACTGCCATCAAAGTAGCTTACTGTAGTCAACGCCACTAAACTGATGGCATATCCTGCACTGAATCCGGTCAGAGGCCACAGTTTCAGATCGCCTCAAACAGTAAAATGTCACTCCTCGGAGGTTTATAGTGTATACAGTGAGAGTTTGTGTGCACAACCAAGCGTTCGCTTACCTTCCAAATAAGGACAGAAAAATAACACTCGCCACAACTTTATGATAGAGAAAGGGCTTTCACCTCTAAGGTTTTACATTCCAGGACATGATAATGATAATGGAAACATCATCTGATTCTTACAAAACTAAACTTTAGATGAACATTGACACGCAAAATATCTCATGTCATATCATTTAACAAAAACTGAGCCAAAATACAGAAAGCGTAAAGCTTATAATTTGATTTTTGTGTGTGTAACCTGCAGCCAGAAGCTGTTAGTCATATTAATTTGGATAACTGATCGCCATAAGAAAAAAAAAAGTGAGAACCTTGCCACAGACCAAAGACACCAGAGAAGTTTTTGTTGTCTATCCATTTGGGAAGGTTCATGAGACCATTTCCAAACTATTATGTCTCCATCGTTCCACCCAGTCAAAGTCAGGCACATGTGGGAACCATTCAAGACAGTTCTCTAAAGAGTTGATGTCCCTTTCATCCCAATGGTCAGACGGCACGGGGTTTACAGAAACTGTGAGAAACCCCTCGGTTCCAGCCAGCTCAGACTCGGCAGGCCTCAGTTAGCATGTGAAATGTTAACAGTCCTGCCAATGCAATTAGAAAAAGATTGAACAATTGTTGCTTTTTTGGAGTGGTTGTCAGGAAAACACACATTATTTCTAGAAAAAACATGGGAGCACATTTTATGTTTGCATAGCTTAATCTAAAAAAAAAAACCCAACCCCACAAGACGTTTAGTGCAATGTCTTTTGGAGAGATAAGACTAAAGTTGAGAGGTTTGGTTATAACACACAGCATCAGGATTGGAAACAACAAATATCATGCACATCAGCATACAAAATCATAATAACTTTTAGCTGTGTAGGTATAGGGCGAATGGTTTGGGCTTGCTTTGTAACAACAGGACAGAAAAAGTCACTAACCATAATGAGTTATCCATAAACTTCTCTGTTTACGATAGTTAACCATAGTTAAACGTGAGTCCATCTGTCAGACGCTTACAGAATTAATGTGTCGCAAAGCAACAGTGACAACCCAGACCTCTACATGGTTGACATTTTGAAAGATTTGTGTATGACATAAACTATTGTCAACCAGACCTCAATTAACTAAAGTAACACTGAACAAATCGTACCTCTAGAGGTCCAACACTCGTCATTGGGGTGGTGACAGAATGTTCTGCTATTGTACTCTTGTTCTTTTGTCCATTTACCGCTTGGGAACATAATTTTACCTTTCTAGGCCTCTAAAAGTATAAATACGTGCCTCTGGTTCCAACTGTGGGGTATCATACACTATACATGAGTCGAGAAAGTACCTCAGGGGACAGAAATGTATTCCTATTGCGCCCCATTTTTGACAGTTTCTATAAGAACTTGACACAATCTCTTAAAATCTCTTTGAGTAGCTGCCAACAGTTAACAGAGTTTTAGTTTAGGATTTGGTAAATGTACAACGACATCGTGTAAAAATGTCATTGCTTGTTGTTCATAGGAGGCTATGGTCTCTGAATTTTGAAACACGGTAAAAATAAGAACATTTATTGTTGTGTCCTGATCTGTGAAACCAATAGAATCGTATATATAATGCCTTTTTTACTAACAGACTCCAAATTTCCTCTACTTTTGCGAGGAGTTCAAACGATAAATGCAAGAAGAAAGAAAAGCAAACACATGTATCAGTCTCTGCCTCATAAAGCATTACTTCGTCAAGTCGCTAATGCACCTGCCTCCAACCTTTTCCTTCACAGAGTAAATATGGGTTCAAGTGATCTAATGGCTCCAGTCTGCTGTTATTGTGCTTATAACTGCAGACCAGCAGTTTCTACCTGCCTGCACATGCTCTCGAGTGTTAAATTAATGTGATATTACTGCGCATGCATGGTTTGCATTAGCTGATCTGACGACGGGTGTACGTAGTAGACAAGAAGATAGTTTAGGATTAGAGATAGAGGAACTATGTAACTACGTGGCAGGTAAAGCAATAAATGTCCACCCACACTGGACTGTACGATTGCTAAAAGCAGCCATATTTCACCATAGCTCGACAGACCAGGAACTGTAGATGTAAGTTGATATGTCCAATAATTTATCTGAGAGACTTCTAATGGGGATGGGGAAAAGTGTTTTAAAAAGTTGTAAATAATTTTTTTCAATAAAGTAAACAACCAGTTTAAAAACAAAATTGAGATTGAATTTAAGTTTAATCTCATTAAACCACTTAGTCGAGGCATTTTTTAAGATAATTGTTGGTATATATCTAAATTTGTGAAAAAATATTTTATATGAAGCATTTAATTTCCTGTAACAGAATAGCAATTCCTGTTAATATGTCAACGCAGAATGTTTCCGTCCATTGTTGCCTACATTGTTAACTAGTTGTGGCTAATTAACCGGCTAACCAATAGAAAGTTGGCTATTTTTGGTATTGGCTAGCTAGCTAACTATAGCAAACAGCAGTTCCATACTATGTAAACTGGTTTTAGCTAATTAGCTAGCTTGCCAATAGCAAATTGGCTATTTTATTTGCTATATGCTAACTTTTGGTTGATCATGGCTAACATGTGTTTCTGCCACTCACACATTAGCATACACACTGGCCATAGATATTACAATTGGTTATGAACTAAGTATATTTGAAGACATATTTTTCAACTGAGACAGTTGCACTAAAGGTGTTAAGATGCTAGCCATACTAACACCTCAATTACAAGGATGTAGTCAAAGGAGCATTGTTTATACAGCAAAGTTGTGGAGCATTGTTTGAAAAGCACATGTAAAATACAGTCCCCCTAAATATACAGTGATAAATTCGATTTTAAATATTGCCAGATTTGTAGATTAGTAGAAGTTGATCAGTAAAGGTGAGCATATGCTTATATATAGTATAGTAATATAGTAATGATCCAAAGGGATTGTTTACAAGCACTTCTTTATCTGACCCAAAAAACTGACCTTGACTGTTTTCTTTTCTAACACACGATAGGAACTGAATTAAAAGAAAAATATAAAGTCTTCCCTCTGCAACCCCAGAGTAACTTTATTGCAACACTGAATCTTTCCACATTTAAGGCTCCAGCTTGTCTGTAATCATTAAATAGCTCTGACTGCGGTCATAGGCTAAAACATGTCCCGCCGCCTATCCCCCACCCTCCTCTTGGAGGTAGGTTTAGCCTTGGCTGTCCTGATAGTGGACTAGCAAATATGTCAAGTTTATCAGGGCCTAAACACAGCTCAAAGAGTTGGCATCAGAACACACACACACAGACTGAATAGGCTAAACAGGAAATCTTTATTCGTGATTGTGTGTGTTTATGTAGACACCACAGAGTAGATGTAAAACCCAGGGAGACCGAAGTTGCTTTTACATTTGTGTAAACTTTAATATCTTGATTAGGTGTAGGTGGAGGGGATACTTATCGTGTGCTTACACTCTTTAAAGCAAAGTAAGAAAACTATGAGGGGAAATGGAATCCGTACCTTCTTAACTCTTTAAACTGCTCTCCCTGAGTCGGTGCTGTTCTAAACGGGCGGAGCGAGGTTTGCTTTGGCTCCAGATGCAAATGACTCGCGATCCTAAACCCAGACTTACTCAAGCACAGTCCAAGTTCATTTAGAATTGTTTTCAATCCCAATCCCTAGATGATTACGGGACGCTGCTGATGGCCGAGGCCCTGCTGGAGGAGTGCTTGCTGGAAAACACGGAGCTTTTACGGAGCTGCACACCTTTGATGGACAAGACCCAGCCAAGACTTTCCAAAGCCAAAGGCTACATCAACACGATCCTGAGTCGAGGCCGTCTCGCGGTCAGTCTAATCTGGGTCTCCATTCCTCGTGCTGGACATGCCCTGAAAAGGGCATTTCTTTTAATACATTACAGCAGATATGGAAAACTATCGTCTTTTTCTCCAGGTCATATCCTATCACATCACCCACCTGATTTCTGTTTCCCAGCCCAGATACTTGAACGAGGCCCTGCTGCTGATGGCCAAGGTGCACTACGTGCAGGGCCGCTACCGGGATGCTCAGGGAATGTGCGCACGCTTTGGACTGGAGGAGCTGACGCAGGATGACCAGCCCACCTACCACCTTCGCCTGGTGGCCGAGGCTTTCGTTATTAAAGGTATCTATCCTCGGTTTCTTGATAACATTTGCTTATTCCAGGTGGAATAAGCGGTGAGATCCTAATGGCACTGAAACATCAAACCAAAAAAATATGTCAGATGGGCTAAAAATATTCTTGCAATGCTTTATGGAACCCTTAAATGACCATTTTTCCTCTAAACAGTGCAGAATCAGTCCAGTTGTTTGTGATGCTTCTGTAGAAAAATGTCATATCTAACTTTGGAAACTCTTGCAACCTTAGAAATCCCTCTTTATGTTATATTACAGCAGTGGGTTCCTGCTTGAAAACAAACTATACTAGAATAAGACAAAGAGTGAAACCTACTTAGAGCCTAAAAATAGCTCATTAATCTTTATATCTAGATAATATCCAACCTTTACAGACTTAGATCATATTCCTCTTTTGTCCAAGTCTTTTCAGAAGCAGGTCCATTATTCAACGAAGGAAAACCTAGAACTCTGCTCTGTCAAAAGGAGGTTGTGGTACATGAGCACACCACACAATGAAAACAAAAAGCTTAAGGGTAGGAAACATGAGGCAGGCAGAGGAAGATATCACGGAGGAGCAAAATTGATATGTCACATCAGGAGGAACTCGACTTATTTGAGATTTTATCAACATGCTTTTGGGAAGACTCAAATATTATACTTAGTTGTTTTTTGCCAACATAACATATGAAACTATCATATCTTACAAATGATTTTCTTTCTTTTGAGATTTGTTAAGTTCAAAATAAAGAAGACCACATCTAGTTCCATGCGTACTGGACTTTGAAGAGACAGGAGCTAGGAAGCATTTCAGACAAAAAGTGAGAGCATTTGAACTTGAAAGGATGCAAATAGATTCATTTAGATTCAATAATATTTTTCTGAGCCAATAAATGAGAACATTAATGGTTATTTAAAATGTAAATGCATTTTAATTTGATTTTTCAGGCACTACAGATCACTGTCACATTGATATCTGACCAAACAATGAGCGAAAAAGGGTATTTTCTAAATAATATCTTAATTTTTGTGGTCAGGGTTAGGTTTAGGCTTAGGTTTAGGCTTGTGCACACACAGAAACAAATAGGACTGTGACAGCTGTTTCATGGAGACAGCCAAAAGGCATGAGATAGGGGTGAAAAAGCGACTTTATTACCTTTTTTTTTTCCATAAACTCCTTAACAGTATGTATGACCACTATGTGTAAGTAGCCTGTTCACCTAATACACATCAAAGTTACTCATTAATGTGGGAGCTTAATCATTTTATCCATACATTTGTAGAGCAGGCAGCTGTTTGGTGCTGACAAGCCAAACTACAACCAAATTATGTTTAGCTACAATTTGTCATCTTAAGGTAAAAACAGCTTCTAAAAGCCTAGGCGGGGGGCGTCGCAGCCCTAACATCCAAATGGCCTTGTATGGGGAGGGAGCGGTGGAAAGGAGATGGTAGGCTGATGAAATCCAGTCTGTTGTAATAAATGGAACATGGCTGGAAAACATCAGCTTGATTGGGCAGATTATGTCACCGGCCGCCTAATGTTTTTTTTACCAAAGTCTTAACCCCAGCTTGTGGACGATACTATTAATGTCAAATGGGAAACGGGAAATTACGGCCTCTGTTGTCGTTCACATGACGGAGACCTGCTGTGTTTTCTTGCCGGCGGCCTGAAAGTCTCATGTGGAGAAAGATGGGATAAGTGAAAGCTAAAAACATTTTTTGGAAGAGTTTTTGTTTGTTTTGTTATACCACCAGTGTCGTAACAGATACATATTTATGACCTAGTTATTTGGGGTCATGGTTCAAGCAGGAAGCATAAATAGTAAGAAAAATATGCACGCTCACACACATGTTTAAGTTCAAATACAAGTAAAAAGTCAACAGAAAGAATTGTGGATTCATGCTAGAATATACATTTTATCATCATCAGAGTGAACAGAGGCATCATTAAAGGCCATCACATTTCCAGAGCATCACACTCAAACCGGGGATAATTTTGTTTCACTCATCATCATCATCATCATCATCATCATTATGTTGTTACACTCCCTGTTTCCCGATAATCGGACATGACCTCATCCTGATGAATCATAAGAGAATTGAGCAGCTATAACGGCCCGGTTTCGATCTCCTTTGTTTGTTTTGATTCCCTCTGAATGATATTTACGGTGGAGTTTTATGGCGATTTGAGAAAACAAATCTGATCCTGAGGGGGCCAGAAAGTTTCCCTCGCATGCTTTTCTGTGTGATCTATAGCTTATTGCTGTGGGAATCAAGTCAGATGTGGATGCTAGGATGATGATGTCTTGACAATTGGCAGCTGTCTGCTTATTTGATTTGGCCTGGCGTCAGGCCTGAGGCTGTGCCTTGCCATAGGCTTCCTGCAGTCTTGGAAAGTTCCTGATCCCTCTTATTATTTGTTTCCCTTGTTTTCCTATATCAATAGCCCCATCGGCCTATGAAAACACAATAAAAAAGGAAGAAATATACACCTTCTTTCATTAAGGAAAGGCATGAAAAGTTCAACTCCGATTGTAAAAATGTTGAAATGGTAATAAAAAAAAGGCTTTGCAAGCCTCATAAGCCGGAATTTTATATACAACAGAAAAAATATCAATCTGTGAAAGAGTGGCATGTTAGCGTTTAGGTTGTAATGGGGTTGGGGAAATGTTGGAAAACTAAGTGGTATTAACAGGAAACAGTTCAAGGATCAAGTTGTGAAGACTGAGGTTAACTAGCAAAAGGTCAGTGACAGGGTATAAAAAGAGGACCTTAAAGATTCAGAGTCCCTCAAAAGTAGAAATGGGCTGTAGCGCAGGGATCTTAAAAAGACTAAATTGTGGAACAAATTCAGCATTTTCTTCCTCAAACTAAAATTGCAAAGATTTAAAATGATCAATAATACATATCTGAAAAAGATTTGGAGAGTCAGGAGACATTCACAGTGCTCTAGCTGCCCTGCAATTAAACAAGGGATTGTTATTCCTGAAAATCAATAGAGCATCTCCTTGAATCTTTCTCTGTGAATGCGGTTCACTGTACCATGAAAAAAATCACATTTAAGAAAATATGAATGACCATACATAGTGCAAAAATGTTGCTTTTACCTGAGACTTTTGAGCAGCTAAAATGTTATAACACACCAGAGTCTAACAGCATTGCTCACAGATATTCTGTTATTAAAAGGAGAGAAGATGCCACACAGTGATAACATGTCGCAGCTTTTATGAGTGCTGTGGCAGCCACCGAATTCAGGATGAGCTTCTTAATAAAATAGCCAAATGAGTCACTTTTGACTTTACTATTGTGAATATATATGTATATGTAAATATATCAGCACCATCGCCTCACAGCAAAGAAGGTTCTGGATTCAAGTTTGCATGTTCTCTCTGTGTCTGCGTGGTTTCTCTCTGGGATCTCCAGCTTCCTCCCACTGTCCAAAAACCTGCATGTTAGTTTGATTGGACATTCCAATTTTTTTGGAGTGTGCACGGTTGTTGGTCCTTGTGTGTCTCTGTGTGGCCCCATGATGGACTGGCGGACCGTCCAGGGTGTACCCCGCCTCTCGCCCATTGAATACTGGGATGGGCTCCAGTCCTCTCTGCGACCCCATTTGGGAATAAGCGGTTCAGAAAATGGATGGATGGATGGACATTGATTCATGAGATTTGAAATCACTGCATTCTGTTTTTATTCAAGACAACATCCCAACCATTTTGGAATTGGAGGCCATAATTATGTCCGATAAGTGCCAAGCTATTATAGTCAGGACCGAGGTTACCGAAAGGTTTTGGTGGCCTGACATATCTAGTCAGACAGTGTTGGTAGAACTGCTACAGGGTATCTACAGACTGAGCCCGCGGAACGTGCATGGATGTTTATTCCCCTCTGGGTTGTTTTTTTTGTCGAATTTTTGAAGCTGTGTGGTGAGGAAGTGAGATCCAAATAGATGCATATTTATTTTCTAACGGAGATGCACCCAAGCTAAAATAACCATGAGAAAAACAGGAGCCAAAGCTAAAATGTCCCACGAGCTCTAAGCAAATAAGAAAAAAAACGGACACTGAAATGTGTTGTTATCTTTAGGGTCATACCGAACCTTTTATTTAGCTTTGGACGTGATGTATTTGTGAATATCTTGCCCCCATAAAGAGCTCTTTTGTTGTCCTGCCACAGTTAAAAATGTTCCTCCCTTTAAACTGACTGCAACATACCTGAAGACACATATTCAAAAACCCAAAACAAAGCACCACTTTAGCTTTTAATTTCACTGCCTTCCACTTTTCTTGCACGATAAAGCTCAGAGTGATAACAGGTGATGTGATCCTCACATTTCAGGCCTGTCGTTAGACCACCAGACACTGTCCACCGTGTCTCGCATTCGTCTTCTAGAGAGAGAGGAGGAGAGTCTGTCCTGTTTCCTCAGGGCTTGCGACGCGGCTCTGTCCTACCTACAGGAGCTCGATAAGGTGACTGTTCATACACGTAATGTATCTAGCCGCTATAAGAAGACATTATTTATATTTAATGGGGTTGGAATGGAGGGTCACAGGTACTATTCAGATAAAAGCGGTTGTAATCTGTGCCTTTCTGTTTTAAGGAATTTGAATATTATAGTAAAATGTGGGAGTTTTTGTGAACTAGTATCATGACAAGGCTTTGTCGCTTTGTTTTCAGGTAGTAATGACACCCCATGCCAAGACAGCCAAAGCCAGCGTCCTGCATTCACCTATGGATTTGGACCTGGGCTACTTCCTGCAGGCGGCCCTGCAAAGCGCTTACCTCTGTCTGCTTCACAGAGGGTAACTATGTCAAACGCACACACACCCATTGTCCATGCAACGTATTGATCCTTCTGGTGTGTTTTACCCTGAAAAATAAAGGGGGCTGTGAGCTCAGTACTTTTTGAGGCCCAAGATGAGGACAAAAACTCAAGAGAGAAGAAAAAATATCTTTTGACCGAAACTTGATCTGGATGGAATGGAGATGCGTTTTCATTTCAGGCCAGCAGGTGTCAGTGTTGTGCTTTGACAAATAGATCTAAAATCTAAAATAAGCTAATCTCCTCAAGAGTAACTGAATAACAGAGGAAATACACCCATAGAAATGAATCAGTTTAAACATACAAACAACAAAACTCTAACTTAAACCTAATCAAAACCATTTACACATATTTTCATATATCTAAATTACAGTAAATTTTCTTAATATATTTATATATGGAGCTGATTTATAATAATGGATCAACTGCCATTGGGGACTAATCGGATTAACTTTTTAAAAGGATGTGATTATGTGTGTACAGATGTGTATATATATATATATATATATATATATATATATATATATTAAGCATCAGCAGAGATTTAAGTATTCATTTATCTAATTATCATCTCTTCTCCAGTTTTTTTAAAAGTCTGTTAACCTCTGCTTGTGTATAAATAATTTTTTGTCTAAGGTTCGCAACCAGTGCATCCCAGTGACGTGCTTGTACTGTGTGTGTTAGTCATCTTGCGCAGGGTGCCCACCAGCTGCGCAGAGTCCTCCGGGTGGTGGAGTCTCGGGGGTCTCAGAGCTTCAGGAAGGTGGGTTCCCCAACGCGGTTTTACCGAGCCGCTCAGCTTCGCTAGCTTGGTCTGGCCACGACTAATCCAGGTTTCACCGAACATTTTTGCCTGTTGTGTTTGCGTCCCAGTCTGCAGCCAGGAAGCTAGCACAGGTGCTGCTGAGCTCTGTGAGTGAGGACAGCTACTGGCCCCCACTGGGCCCCCCGCCCTCAGTCTGGCTCCACCGAGAGGGAGCGGCCGCCTCCAAAGACGCCATATACCCCACCGTTAAACCACCACAACGTTACAGCACAGACTGGTTCGTACCATCCTCACTCCACCATCTTTGTTTGTTGAGTCAGTTTAGGTTTCAATGGGCCTTAATCCGATTAAATCTCTCATCCGGTCTCTTCAGTTGCAAGTGCCCTAAGTTAAATCGCTTTCTCCAAGATGAACGTTTAGGAGGTAATGAGTCCCACGATTAGGGTTTTGTTACTTGATTGTATCAACTATAAATAATTCATCAAGCATTAATGTCTGGGAGTCTGTTTTCTTTATCAAACTTGTGCTTTAAGGTGATCCTGTCCAAGTGCACAAGCGCCACGTTTGTCCGGGATCTTCCTGTCAATATATTGGCTTTTGGCACCGTCTGAGTGTAAGAAACTGTGAGAAAAAGAGTGTAGTAGTCAGCTTGAGACACTTAGGTAAAAAGAAAAACTCCTTTTAAGTAGTTAAATTCCACGTTCATCCGTGTTCAGTTGTTTTCAATTTTTATTTTCTCCACTGTGTGATAATACTCATCTAAACTGATGAAACAATTCAAGTATGGTTCAGGGTTTTGATAATATGTAGGTTTTAGATTTCTGTTGTAAGATTTAACCCGTCTTGACTCCGTAACACAGAAACACCTGGTTACAATTTGCCTCAACAGAAACAGAGAACCACGTTCTTGTTGCATCACAACCCTCAGTGGTTGTCCGAACCCCGTGGTCTTCTTTATGGTATACTGTAAACTCAGTTGCCATGCTAACAGTTCCATTGGATAAAGTCTGAGGTCATTTTTTTGTATTTGGCACTAAGACTGTGCACACATTGGTTCCGACATTGATCTTAAACTCAATTTGAAACGGTTCTGACAGATTTAGGTAGCATGTAAATCCTTTATGTTTATAACTTATGAAATGTACCTATCCTGCACAGGGATGGATGTAATCACAAACCTGGCTGGTCGGTAGAGGCAGACCTGTGAGGTTGAAACCCCAGTTCTTCATTTAGCTGCGCTTGTTGTTCGGCCCCGTCCTACAGAAAGCACCCGAAATGCCACTAGATGTCACCGCGTCTGAGCTTTAAGCCTGTTAAAGGTTGAGGTGACGGGACAGGCACTTTGCCGAAGCTCAGCCCGCTGATAATCAGCTCAGTTTCGACGCCAGAACGAGAGTGCGGCACACGGTCGACACTTCCAGACTCTGTATAAAGCCGGCGTATGAGTAATGAAGGCAGTTCTATTGTGGGAAAGAGTATTAATCACATATTTTACATAACACAGCAGGAAAGCGTGACATAATATAGCAGAGTTGGGGAAGCTTAAGATAGCGCGAGGAATGATGTGACACAAAAAATCTTCTCGGTCCTAAAGGACCCCACCGGTTGTCTGATGGGCGCACTAAAGTGCATCATGGTTGCGTTGCTGCGTTCTGGCTGGTTGTGGGGATCCTGCACCGGTTGCTCAGCCCCCTGCGAGCCATACTTAGTCACCGCCACATGACTAATCCTGCCCACACTATCATAAGTGAAGATCTAAATCCATGTCTGAGATTAGAAAGGAGTGGAGGAGCAGCAGAAATCACCCCCGAGGAAAAAGCTGTGTGTCAGTATTGTTCATGGCTTTTGTTATCACTCACTCCCCTTTTTTTTTTCAAAAGGCTATCGCTCCGTTTTGATTGGCGTGTCCTTTGATATGACATAAAGCTGTCCAGAGAGGGAAAGGGGATTGGGAAGTCGATGACTGGTAGTGCGTGTGTGTGTGTGTGTGTGTGTGTGTGTGTGTGTGTGTGTGTGTGAGAGACATCTGAGATGGGGCTGTATTGTGATACATCCAGGGTGGTCAGGGTTGTGTTACAGCGCCACAGGTGAGACAGAAACCAGACCCTCCTGACAGTTCACCTTTGAACTATCATTTATGCGCGCACGCGGGTGTATGCGACGGGGATAAACTTCCTGTTTTGTCCTGTGTTCTGTTTTTTTCTGCGCCACCGGCAGTTGCTTCTGTCCACAGGACGTGGTAGAGGAAGCCGTGTTGCTGCTGCTCATCACGGAGCCCATGGTGAGAAACACACACACACACACACGCGCGCACACACACTCTCCCCTCTCAGCTTCTTTCTATTTCTAAACCACTGATGCTCAGAGTGATCCAGCATATTTACTGGAGAAGCCAGTTAAACCCCCCATACCTTCCCGTGTCATCATAACCTTCTTTCATCTTCCTGGTCTCCTTCTTCCATTTTTTTTTTCCGCGTGTCCGTCCAGGCCAGCGGCGAAGCGGTGATCAGTCGCCTGCCAGACCAGGCCGAGGCCCGGCAGTCCAGCCTGCAGGACGCCACCTCCGTTTATGACCTGCTCACCATCGGCATGGCCAGGAGGGGGCAGTACGCCATGCTGTCTGAGGTGTGTCATGTCACACACACACACACACCTATAAGCACACAGCATGCTGGAGGTCTGGGCCGGGCGGGGCGTCGGGTGTGGGTGGGGGGGCAAGACTGGGGGATGAGAAGTGCTTGTGAGAGCTTTGCCTTTGCCAAACTTTTTAATGAATGTCCTTATCACTTTGAGAGCAGGGATTATGTGTCTTTTCCTCTTTGCCTCTCTGTCTTTTCCTCATCTCTCAGCATCCCCCCCGCACTGTCCGTCCGTTTCTGTTCTTTTTTCGCCCTCTTTCGCCCAGAATTCCCCCTTCAGTTTTTTTCTCACCTCTGTTTTTACAAGATCCGTTGTACGACCTCTACCCAGATGTGGGAAGTCGGAGAGGCGGAGATTGGAGAGGTTGTCTCAAATTAGGTTTGTCCACCCGTCTGACTGATTCATAGATAGCATCAGTCATTTTGTAAAGCAGACCACACGCACACACACACACACACACGCTGAAGTAATTCCTCCTACACTGCTGGATGGATTAGCTGATATGTGGGGCGAGCATGGGCCATTTATATGAAACGAGACGTCTTTGATGACCGGAATAAGATCCAAGTTGAGTGATTCTATACCTCCTCTAATGCTGATAAATTCATAGAAGATATAAGTGTAACTTAACCATGTGAAATTAAATATCAAAGTGACATCACACAGTTCTGTTTTTTTTATCAGGCTGATTTTCCAAAACGTGCTAGGAACTGTTTAATGAATAATGTTTGAGGCCTGTATGGGAAAAGTCTTAATTTAAGCGGTCAACAAAGCAAAACGTCATCAACAATTCCACAAGAAGAGATTTGCTTTAAACTGTAAATTGAAAACCAAGCTACTATTCAGGTAGTGTTTGACATTTTTACGGCTGTTTCGCCTCTTTTCTAGGTTCGCTCTGAGTCCGGTGCCGATGTGGACCGTGACACACATTTTACAGAGTGTAAAAATAGCTCTTGTACACGGAGGAATTTAAAATTTCACCAGAAGGGCTTCTGTAGTTTCTGCAGAGGGAGGCCAACAAAAACAGAAACCATTTTCTTTTCTAGAATTAATGGAAAATATTGATTTTCTTTGCCAAGCACAGGTTTCTGCAGACTCTTTCTGAACATAATTAGGAATGTGTACTTTCTCCCCCGTTGATTTTAAAAGGGACTTTAGGATTGTGAGCAATGTGGGTCCAGTATACACACATCACTATTATTCCAATGAAGTCTTTAAGTCTTTAGTAATAACTAAACTAATAACTAACTCCAAAATCACATGTTCAGGATAACTGTACATTTTAAAGTTTTTGCTAAGATTACACCTTTTAATTGTCTTAAAATGTTCAGCATTTCATGCGCTTTACCTTTTTCCTTATTTAAGGAATGGTGACTAATGGCCTCTCCCTTCCATTAGCAAGCTGCCCCTCTCACCAGTTCGCAGCAAGCATCTGCTCATTGCTACCTGGTTGCTTGCCCCAAGGTTTTGGGAGATAGCAAACACCGTCCGGTTCGTCTGGTCAGGCCCCCGTCCCCGCAAACTGGTATTTGCCTACTCAGCTGGGTCGAGTCATGGCTTCCAGCGGTCAGTGTCAGCTTGCTGGAGTCCTGGCACGCAGCAGCCAGCGTCCGCTCGACAACCCAGGCCCTAGCCTTTGCAGCTAGTGGCCAAGTTGCTGGGCTCGGCCAAACCGTGGCAGCCAGCACCTGCTCATTATCTCTCACAGCCTGCGCTTGCTTTTTCTCATTTTAAGCGGTTTCTCACGCCATCGTGCAAAAGGCCTCTGTAGCCCCACCCCATCGGCGGCCAGCATTGGTTTCGCTAATCTTCTGTGTGGAGAAAAAATACAGGCACTTGAATTTTTGCCTTGCTGTGGGTGTTCGGCAGATTTAAAGCAGAAATCCCCAGCACTGAGGGCTGATTTTGTCAATGAAATTGAATTATGAAACAAGTCGTTATGAATAAACGAAGTAAAGGTAAAAGATTTCCTATATGGCAATTAGAGGCTTTAAAGTTTTTGTCAGAAATGTATTAGTGAGAAATTCCATACATATAGGAGATTATAGTATTCCATGAATTTCAGCGCAGTTCAATTGTACTGTATTATTTAGGACTTAAGTTCAGTCCGGAGCTTAAACAGAGATTTATGAGGGTTTGGTGCGACATCAAGCAGTATTAAGAACGGCAAGCACCATCATGTATCGGCGAAGACCACCAGTCGCCGCCGAAGCAATCGAAATATAAAAACTTAGTTCCGTTACTTATTAAAAGATCTAGAGCTCGATCAGGATTAACAACTGGTTCCATGGTCCACATTATGTTATTGAATTAGAGCCCACTGAGCTGTGTGGCTCCACACAGCATGGGTATCTTTGTCTGCGTGTCACATGACCAGTGGTATTTCCAGTAAAAGCGTAGTCCGCAGTCATAATGGCAGGTAGGTCTTTTTTCCTGCTTCAGCCGAGCTGGCTGCAGCATGACTGACAATATCTGACTGAGCAGCCCCCCCACACACATATCAATCACGTCGTTATGTACAGAACCGGCACAGAGTGGGTGGTGAGTGGTGACTGACAGGCAATTTCAAGCAAGAAAGATTCGACCAAAAACGGTGGCCATTCAGCTGAAATACTCTGGAAAGAAGAAGCTGTAGATGTTTCTTCTACACTTCGAATTGCGGTGCCCGGCAATACCGCGTACGCTGCCGCCCCGAGCTCTCTTTGGGCGTCCTCTTTGTGCAAAGTTGCATAACCGAAAGCATGTTTGTGTCTGCGTTCTCTGCTCTCAGTGTCTGGAGCGAGCCATGAAGTTCTCATTCAACGAGTTCCACCTCTGGCACCAGCTGGGCCTGTCACTCATGGCGGCCGGGAAGGTGAGCTCATTTTTCCTTATATAACAGCACCGGGGGTCTCACATACACAGCACGCCACGCCCCTCAGAGGAGTCATCCTTCTCCTGCCATGCCTCCGTCCTGTACGCCTCTACGGGCCTTCTTCACCCCCACGTCCACACGTGCAGCGAATAGCTGTGTCTGGTTAGAGATAAAGAGGCTGCAACTAGATCTCAGGCTACCCTGACGACTGCCAAAAACGGACAGTGGAAGTGCATCTTTTGGCCCTTCTAATCTAAACCATTTGATAAATCTACTATCAATTTGTGTGAGCTGCCCTGTACATACATGGCAACATAAAACGAAACAAAACCAAAAGTCTTTTTTGTCCTCTCAAGCAGTTGGAAGATCTCACAGATATCTCCTAGTTTTTTTTTTGTTCCTTCAGTGTGTGTTTCCGTACTAGCCGTGCAAATGTGTGTGTAAGAAAAATCTATCTGAGCTGCAGGATGAAGTGACACTGCAGATCAATGGAGATCTCTTGAAATAGTCTGTACCCTAGAAGGAGAGGGGGGTCCGCCTCGGTGTCGTCAGATCCGCTTCTATTTAGGGCCAGCCGGCGTGTGTATGTCGGTGTGTGTGAGCACATGCGTGTGCGCATGTGGTCCATTAATGATTGACCTACATGTTGTAAGCGACCGCATGGCTAAATGGGTCTATTAGGGCTGTGTAAGGACAGTTGATGTGTGTTTAATACGCTCACTTAAATCCGGTCCATGTCGTCCGGGCCTGCTGCGTTCACGTGAATCACAATTGGTAACTGACATTTCCCCTCTGTGTGTTTTTGTGTGTACGTGATTGTGTTTTCCAGTGGGTTGGGGCTGTGTCTGTATTCAAAGAGTGTGCCAGGATGAGACCTGAGGACCCCTCATTGCCCATGCTGGCTGCTAAAATCTGCATTGGTCATCTTCACTGGGTGAATACACACACTCACACCAAGTGCATTGGGAAAATAACTTGACTGAAATGAACACATTTGTTTTGTTTTCTCATTTTAGATTGATATTAGATGGCTTATAGCCAGTCCAGGTGGTGCTGCTTTCCTTGTCTTTTTAGGTTCTCTTGTGGAGTTCATCAGTCTGTCTAACAATTCTGTTCAAAGATCAGACAAAGACTATAGAGACGAGGAGATTTGCACCCAAAACAGGATTTATTTAAGTGTTCCAATGTTGAAATAAAAAGCCTTGAAATGACTCCTACAGCTGAACAATAGAAGGGATATTTATGTCCACGTTTGCGACACTCCTAAACCCCTTCAACTTGAAACATGTAAAAGAAAAGGAGGACACATTCTTGGCTTGAAGTGCTCCCAACTCATTATGTTCAAGACCTCCTACAATGTTGTTGTCCTTCCAATTGCTGTTGAGACCTTGAACTCGAAGGACCCTCTCAAAATGTCCCGTCGTGCCAGGCGCCGAGAATTTTTTTCAGCGCATAGTCGGAGTCTCAACTGACTGCTCGCACCTTTTTTACCTTCCTTAACCAGCAACACGCCGGAAAGTTCCCGTAATAGTTTGTACCTCAATCAATCGGGACCTTTATGCGGCCCGTACACAATTGGTTGGTGCTTTGCTGTTTATCCGAGCTGGGAACACTGTTAGTGGATACTGTCCACAGCCGACTTCAACCAAGCTGTTCTGGGGATAAGGCTGCCAATGGTACTCAGTGTCAGTGATTCTCTGGCTTTTAAATCTGTTGGTTTGACACAGTCCGTGTCAATAAGTATACCTACATTATGCCCGCTGGACTAAGGTACCCCCGGAGCGTATGGTACTAGGACGTCAGCAATAGACACTATGGGCCCTGTGGGTTATCAGGAGAGGGTATCGGAGGTCTAACAGATGTCTATCATTTACTTTAAGGATTTCCAAAATACAAGGCCCACTGTTTTCCCTCTGAGCGAGGCTACAGCTGTGGGCGCTGCCCATTTCACCTGTTGGTACTCCAGATGTTGAGGCTGATTAACGGTCGAGTTTTATGAGTGATAGGCTCCCGATTGTTAAAAAGGTCGGGGAGCCTTGAATTCCTCTCAGTTGTTCTTCATTTTCTTTTTGAATTCCATCAGAGAGGCTTTTACCTTTAAAAGGAAATTGATTTAGAAAGAGATTTTCATTGATTTACCAATAAATGTCAGTTTCTTGTGTGTTCATTCCATTGGCAAACCGTATGGCGCATTCAAGTTTAGATTTCCAGCTCTTGTCAGTTGCATTTTACCGCTTTTGATAGATAATAAGCAATGGAGGTAAATCAATGTAGTTTTTTAGGGGGGTGTAACTGTCCTTCGTGCACGTGTATGTGCTTGGAATCAGTTACCAGAATGTTTGACAAGTCGGAGGACTCATCAGCTCTGGGAAATGTCACGAGCTGCCAACTCCGTGTCAAATCGTGACCTCACTTTGTCACGGATCGGTTAAGTAAACAAAGTCCTCTCACCATGCTTTCGCTGGTGTCATAATTAGTGTTACAGCTATTCGGCCGTGAGATGAAAAAAAAGTGCATTAAAATCTGAGGCTCATTTTTAATATCTTAAAGGCTTGTATTCAAATCTATTGACATTACAAAAACGTGATCATTTTTTTAATATGAATGTATAGTTTGGTTTAAAAAGCTGTGTGAAAATATCCTCCCAATAGAATAAGAGGGAATTCCACCTTGGAAGGTGGAAGGTGTGCTCTCTGTACTTGACAGTAACTGTTTAGCTTGTTTTTTGGGATCGACACTGAGGTCATAACGCATCACCGACTTTTAGGCCAACATGGACCCTCCACCAATTCATGATCTGGGCAAGGGGGAGAAAGTAACAACAGCTGTATGAAGCGTGCAGGCAGAGGGGAAATGGGCAAAAAGGGGTGAGAGTGAGTCACACACGCAGACAGAAAGGGGTCAGATTAGAAAAGAGGAGCCGATGGCCGAGTGGAGGGAGAGCACATCTGTCAGTGGCTGAAGATCATGGCAGGCCAGGGACACTAAGGAGCTTACAGTTTTAATCACAATGGGACACTATGGCCATAGTGCAGAGTTGCATTACATAAATGGGCCACCTTTATCCACCATCGGCTCCACTTGACAGTCTGGCCTGTAATCTATCCGGCTACATTTTTTTGCTTTTTTATGTCAGCCCACCAGCTCACAAAGCAAGCAATGGCTTTGTGATGAAGTTGAGTCGTCCCATAGGAAGAAACGCCCACAAAGTACACCGCACAGTGTCTGGTGAGCAGTGAATTCTTCAGGTTTCCCCTCAGTAAGTTGGGCCCGCTCTTCTTTTTTACCTCGTTCAAGGGCGGGAGAAGGAAGAAGAAACGAGACATAATACTCCCGAGACGAGCACGGATGAGCTCTTTGTTTTAACGGCTTGTCTGTAGTGCGTAGACTCTAGAAACCAGAAGGAAATCAGAGAGCGGGGGAACGAGATGGAGGGGCTGTTGGAGCAGTTGGCTCACTGCTGCTCTGGCTCATCAGAGGCTTTAACCACCCCCCCACCCCCCACTACCCAGACCACCTACCCACCTGCCTCCCCGCCACCAGACATGCCTCACGCAGTGTGACAGAACACCTCGGCTCAGCTTGTGCCGGCAGTGGGCTGTCGGGCGTGTGGGCGAGCGTGCGCATCCCTCAGCAAACTCGGCGCCGTCCTTCAGCAGAATCCGTTCGGACGAATTTGTTCTCGCACTGAACTTGCACCGGGCTCGGCCACCAATACGTTGCTCCGCCGCTAATTTTTCACGGAGAGAGGAGGATGTCGCCAGTCCCGTCGCCGTTCCAATGTCCCGGGCTAATGATCCATGCAGATTTGTGGGCGTTTTGTTAGAAATCTCACCTGCCCTTGGAAGCAGCGCCGAGATAAAAAGTTTTAGGTAGTTCTTTTCCATCCCGCTCACCCACAGGAAAGGCTATATCTACCCCCCCAAAAATAATGTTGGCCACATAAGGATCGGGCAACAATGAAGACTAAAATAGATGGTATTCTCTCCCCAAAGCTGTGATCACAACATTGTTGAGTCAGTCTGATGTTACACTATAGAAATAAAATAAAAAAAACTGACTGTAAGCCCTCTAATATGCCTAGAGCAACCTGCCTACCCAATACTGCTCCCTAGATCTGGTGCGATATTGTTGCCATATCATACATCGATGTGATTGTTTTTGCAGTTAACAAAACGCTGAATAGTGCATTTATGGCTGTTTGTGTCCAGCTTAAGGAGGCAGAGGCTCTCTCCAAGAGTGTGGTGTCCATGGGGGAAGAAGCAGGCGCATTTCTGCCAAGGGCCTACCTGGCTCTGGGACTCTGCTTCAGTCTTCAGGCCTCTGAAGGTAAGGAATACATACATGTTATAGACCTTACAGCGGTTAGCAAGAGGGTTGCTGGGGCAGTTTTCTGTCAATGCATGGTTTCCCCCCAGGTATATTAGAATGTTAGTTATTTGGAATTTGCCCTATGTGTGAGTGTGCATTATTTGTCTGTTTGGCCCTCTGATGGAGTGCATCCTGTCCTGGGTGTACTTCACCTCTTGCCCAGAGGCAGCTTGGATGGGATCCTGCCCTGTGGCTGCGCCAGAAGAAAATGAATGGATGTATAACCCTTAATACATTCTCAATAAATAAAAGGGGGAAAAAATATGAGGATACTTTCGGATGGGATTCTTTTTTTGCGTGGGATCATGGTGTTTAGAATTTTTTCCCAATAAGTGTAGTTTATGTTGCTCTAAAGCCTGACTTGCATTTTAAATTAGTACAGAGAATGCAATTAAAACCCTGTCTCTCTCTATAATAAAGATATAAAACAGCTTTATTTGAACGATGACAAATATTTCGGTGAAATTCATATCGAATAGTTTGCTGCTGTTGGTTAGTTAGAAAACTGTGATACACTGGCTGTGTGAGTCCTCTGGAGGGGCTCCAATTTCCTCCCACATTCCAAAGACATACATGCTAACAATAACCCTAAATTAGCTGACAGTAAGTCTGTGGGTGCACATTGTTGTACATTTCTGTGTTTTTTCACTATTCATTTACTTACTTACTTACTTACTTACTTACTTACTTACTTACTTACTTA